TGTTAACAGGGTTGAAAGGAACTTTATATATTATCAGTAGACATATATAGACACAGATTGATGCTCCGTCGATCACGCGTGAATATAAAAAAGTAAAAAATAAAAAAAAAAAAGTAATCCTCCCTTTTATCTCATCCTCTTAAACAAGAGTAGAACAAGTCATCTCTTGCGATTCTAGGAAAAGAAAAAACAGATACAATGTACACACGTGTACCTACATACGTTTTCTAAAATTGTAAATACCTAGAATTTATCACACTTGGTGTTATACTACCACCACATTACAATACCCCTTTTTTTTTCTTTTTTTATTTTTCATACATGTGTATGTATCTTTTTAAAACCAAAGGCATGATCGTTCACTCGTTCGTTCGTTCGTTCATTCGTCGTTCCCTTGGACGTTATCCAACGACCTTCGGGATTGCATCAAGATCTCGAGCCAACCACAAGGCTATTTCTTTTTTTCTTTTTCTCTCTAAAGAGAGAGAGAGAGAGAGAGAGAGAGGAAGAGATAACGTTAGGGGAAAAAATAAATATCGATATACACGAGTATTTTCGATTTTAACGATAACTAATATCATATATAGGGTAGATTACAACGATCATAGATAATCCGATAACGTTGATCTCGATTAATTACGTAAATAATTAATCCTTAGAAATCGATAAGCAATTATCTCTCCTTCCTCTATCCCTATCTCTCTCTCTCTCTCTCTCTCTCTCTCTCTCTCTTCTCTCCTTCTCTCTTCAACTTTTCTTAAAGCTCAATACTTGCTTATGAAATGAATTTTGTTTAAGAATTGATTTAGAATACTTGAATGAGAAAAAAAAGGGTTTAAATTGGTTGTCTGTGTACAATGTTTTTATAATACCTGATTTTTGTTCATTTTATGAGACAGTTTTTTGTTTTTAATTTTGTTTTTTTTTTCTCTTACATTTTCTTCTTCTTCTTCTTCTTCTTTCGGGAAGTAAAAATGGTCGACGTGGTATGTATCGTAAGTAGGCCAGATTGTATAGGAAAGCTTGCAAACCGTAACTTGTGTCTCGGATCATTCTGGTTGGGAGGATTAAACTGGGCCACGTAGTGCGTCGGCCTCGCTACCAGAAATATTGTCGACCCTTTCCCCTTCCCTTTTCCATTTTCCCTTCCCCCTTTACTTCACTTCTCTTCTCTTTCTTTTCTCTTTCATCTTCATCTTCTTCCATTCTGCTGTTATTCTCTTACGTCTTATCTTTTATGTACACAACTATTAAGAAATTCTCGAATATTTATCGATGTTATAATAAAGTAACAAGATGATAAGGAAATATAATAAAACGTAATAATAATAATAATAATAATAATAATAATAATAATAATAATAATATGATACAACAAAGTACATTTGATTAATTATTATTCAACATTTCTTTTTGTTTTCCTGTGAAATGAAATACAGGTATCATTTTCTACAACACACGTAATTTTATCTTTCCAACGAGATAAGAAAATTGCAATTAAAAAAATACTTTTTTTTTTTATACACTATTACTGTACTTCAACAGTATTAGATAATGATAAATTTTTTTGTTTAACAATTAAATAATTTTAAAATAATAACACGATGGAATAATGAACTTTAGATTTCCTACAACACAATTTGCAATACTACTATAACTAATACAGTATACATATACACAAAAAATGATAATTTTTATTTAACATATCTAATAATTATATAATTTATAATATTTAAATTTATAATTAAATATAATAATATTTAAAATATGTAATATAATTAAATAATTATAAAATAATAAACCTTAGATTTCCTATAACACAATTTGCAATACTACTATAACTTATACAGTATACATATACACAAAAAATGATAATTTGTATTTAACATATTTAATAATTAAATAATTATAAAATAATAACACGATGAACTCTACATTTTAAACACATTTGAACACAATGAACTCAATGATTTTCTATAACACAATTTCACGCAACACGTGATTTTGTAATAGAAAGGGGTTTACTGAGAGGGTTTACCTGTATTTTATTCTGTTGTTTTTTGTTTTTGTTCGATTACACCTACCGTTTACGCCATGTGGATATTTTTAACTTTGGATGGTCTTAACATAGAATGCTTGATGGGTGGGAATTCTCGCCTTGCCTTGCCTTGCCTTGCGTTACCTTGCCTCTTCTATTTTCTTCGTACGAGCAACCTCGTATGTTACGTACATAAAATCAGGAAGGAATAAACGAGTAAGAGTATGAGAGAGAGAGAGAGAGAGAGAGAGAGAGTGTGAGAGAGATAGAGAGTATGCAGCATCACCTATTCTCATCTCTTCTCTTCTCTTCTCTTCTCTTCTCTTCTCTTCTCTTCTCTTCTCTTGTCTTCTCTTCTCTTCTCTTCTCTTTTCCCCTCTTTGAGCAAAATAATCTCTTTAAGGACGTTGAAATTGCTTCAATATATAAAAAAAAAAAAATGGGTGAGAAAGAAAAATCTCCTCTCTCTCTTCTCTTCTCTCTCTCTCTCTTCTCTTCTCTTCTCTTCTCTCTCTCTCTCTCTTCTCTCTCTGTCTTTTCTCTTTACTTGCTTTCGATAAAAGCATCTTCGTGCTTCGACGTTCTCTTAAGGATAAAAAGAATTCTCCACTATCGGAATGGGATTTGTCAGAGCAATAGGATTTACTTATCGCTTTGGTAGAGAAATTGTGACGAAAATCTTTTCCTAAGTATCTTTCTGAGAAATGTTTAGGATATTGAAGAGAAAGAAAGAGAGAGAGAGAGAGTGAGTGATAAGAATAGAATAAAAGTTTATTTTATAAGTAATTGCATTTATTTTTATTATCGTAATTGTTTTGCAAGTAAATAATTTCATTTATTATTTTATTCTTCTTTTCTTTGATAACAGTCTAAATTTCTATTAACAACGTAATCATTTCACTTTAAAAATCAGATCAAAGTATTGTATTTTGTAGATGATAAACCTTATACAAATTTTATTTCATTTTGCTTAAAATGTGTGTGTAACATATTTAAATTATTTCTATACTATGTGAACTACGAAAACTATGTTTGTATTATGATAAAAATATTTTCTTACGTTTCTTATTAACCTGTGTTCTTCAATTATATCAAAATTTAAACACTGTCAACGCATTTGATTAATTATTTGAGTCACTGTATTTAGTTTCTTCCCTTTATATTTCATGTTTTTGTTTGAATACCCTTTCGATCTTATTTAAAATCCTGTGATAAACATAGAAATGAAATGTAGTATACAGTAGGTATAAAGGTATCGTTTATTTAAAAGAAACATAACGATAACATTCAAGACAAGATAATGCCAAAGATCAAAGTCTACAACTTCCGAAAAGGGTCCGATCTTTTCCGATTTTTAGCTCCACCTCCAACATATTAAAGGCCAATTAGATTCATATATTTCCTATCCCTCTCCGATAGGGTGTAGCTTATTTTGGATATAAATATGTGAAAGAAAGTAAAAAAGTGTCCAGTATCTATTAGTCTATCAGTCAGTGAATCTGTGTATTCGTCTGTGTCAGTCAGTGTATAATCAGTGTATATTATCTGTAAAAAAGGTTATGTTGCATAAATGAGAAAAAAAATCTTATAACAAAACGTATTGTATTCGTCCAATTTTCATCTATAAAAAAAAAAAAAAACAACACAATGTTGCACGAAAGAAATAATTAATAAATCGAAAAATTTACGTACGTTTAAATCATCCAATTTCATTTGTAGATCTGTAAAAAAAGGGTGGGTTTTTTAAACGAGAAAAAAAATCATATCGTAAAATATATTAATCAGAGATAAAAGTGAAAATAAGGTGGTGTGTGTGCGATGAAGTAAATGACGCGTGGTTTGAAATTTTTTCACACGAATGCTACTTTTTTTGTTTTTTTTTCTTTTTTGTTCACTTTTCCTCTCTCTCTCTCTCTCTCTCTCTCTTTCTTCTCATTCCGGGGTGTCTCCTATCTATCTTGCGTCTTCGTTCGTTGGTTGAAAGAGGTCGTTGATCTTTCGAGCGAGTAACCGAGCAAGAGTGAAAAAAAGAAAAAAGAAGAAGAAGAAAAAAAGAAAAAAAGATAGGTGCACGTTTGTGGGCATACACACGGCCTTCGAGCGACCTTGACAGTGGGGAAAACGTGTTTTAAAGCGAACTACTTTTTCATCGTACCTTTTTTTTTTTTTTTTTATCGCGGCTACTTAATTCCCGTATAAAAAGAAAAGAAAAAAGTAATCACACAATTCGAGTCGCGTGAGAAGAGAACAAAAAAAATCCCCCTTAAGTTTGTACGACATATAACATACTAATCTCACGCATAACTTTCAGCATTGAATTCACATTATTTTATTTTCTTATTTCGCGTAAACTCAAACTAAAAGTTTCCCTTTCGTTTCTTTTCTTTTTTAATTGGTTGCTACACAAAAAAGAAAATAAAATAAAATTAACTCATTGTATTCACGTTGCTTGTCTTATGAACAAAACAGATACTGGACTATTACAAATTAATTTTTATTAATTTATATTAAATTATAATATATAATAAATATTAATTATATATAATAAAATATTAAATTATAATATATAATATATTATTATACATTAAATTATATATATTTTAGATATTGTTTAATTTAATTTTGTCTAGTACACTATCATCTAGTGCATAAGTTTTATTAAAAATTAAATTAAATTAAAAATTAGACAAATGCAGAATACTTTATATTTATATTTATATTTATATTTATTATTTATATTTATATTAATAGTATAAACAATGACAAGTAAAAAATATATCCAAAGTTTACAACATACCCTTACATATCGTAAAACAAAAGAACCCTTGTAATAGCACGAGACCTGTTTTCAATGTGTTAAAAGCCCACTTTGAAACAAAGTTGATTTTTAAGAAATAAAATCGAATAATAATAATAATAGAATTACCACTCAAGTCACGTAAATTTCTTTATCTTTTGGCAGAGGACCTTTGGCGTTGAAGAGAAGGTCCAAAAGGAAGGATGGCAGGTGGAAGGAGTATAACAGCATCTAAGCAGACGAAACATCGTCGTAGTGCACAAAGTTGGCCCTCGCACGATTAGGTAGAATCGAGATTGAAAGGTGATTGGCCAAGAAAAACGAAGAGAAGGAAAGAAAGAGAAAGAGAGAGAGAGAGGGTGATTCCTTCCATCCTGAGGATCGAGATGAGCGATCTACAGGCCACCCTCGAGTTCTCCCTCGAGCTCTGCAAGTTCTACAATGTTGACCTCTTTCAACGAGGGTAAGGAAGAAGAAGAAGAAAAAAAAAATGAAAAAAATAGAAGATGAAGGAATAGTATTGAAAAAGCCTTCTTTGATTGCAAAACTTATGAAAAAAGCTCTGGAAGCTTCCTTTACGAGTCCAATTCGAGTTAGAATATCACCCTAGTAATATTGAAAACTATTCAAACCCCCATATTGTATGAATGAAGACAAAAATCATGGTGTTATTCTTATTTCTTTTTTTTTTTTTTTTATTTTTAACTCAAAGTTTTTACCATTTTCTTTTCATTAGAAATAATTTTATTATAAATCAATATATTTAGGGTGAGATAATAGTTCGTGTTGTTTATTGTTTTATGTTGTTTCAGATAGGGTTATTTCGTTTTTTTTTCTTGAATCGATGTTAATACAATTAATTTTATATGCCAGTGAAACTAATGTTAATTTAAAGAACTTAGGAATTTTTTATGATTAATCCTGACATATAATTGGAAATATTTGTTAACGTAGATATTACCAAATACGGACGGCTCTTCGAGTGTCGCCAAAATTACCTGTCAAGGTGGAAGTCAATCAGCTACGCAATCGTGAGTTATTTCATCGTCATTATTATCATCAAACCTGAGTAATTGATTATTATTAAACAAATATTATTAAATTCCTAAATGGATCTACTAATTTTAAATTATATACCTTATACATACAATGGGTGTAAAAAATATTCGTACATCGATCAATTTCAAATAAAATGTTGTGAAATTGTAGTTTATTAACTAATTTGTTTTATAAACAATGAATTTGTACATTAAAAAAATATTTTCATAAATTAAAAAAAATGTTAAATAATATTAGATTGAAATGAAACAATCCAAGAATCGTTAAATCTTTACTAGGAAAGAAATAATCAATTTACTTGGGTTTAATCAAATCATGGTCATCCTTTTTTCATTGGGTGACTCGTCAACTAGGGGAACGTAAAAAGTGATGACAATCATTTTAGATTCGTTGGAGGCACCAGGCACGAGTAAACGTTTTCCAATCCTGTATAGAAATGAAGAGGTGACACTAGGTACATCGGTACTATTTCGAGCTCATGTTCTTGTACACAGTCACAAGATTGAGGAGGCCTTGTCTCGTACACATTTTCTTCTTGGCGTCGAACTATGGTTCAGCGAAAATACACAACCCGGAAATATGGCATGCGTGTCATCGAGGTGAGCACTTCAACGGCTGCTTTTACTCTGTCCCTCTTTCTCTCTCTCTCTCTCTCTCTCTCTCTTACTCATTTACAATCGGTTTATCTCGATCACTGTAGAAACTTAGACTCACATGTACATACTACACATATATACAAATAGACAGAATACTTACACGCATTAAAAAACAAAACACAACTATGAATTTCCAATGAAACGAACGAAAATCGATACTTTCGAAACACTCGTGTGTGTGTGTGTTTTTTACTCCTTTCTTTTCTCTCTTTCTCTTTCTCTCTCTCTCTCTCTCTCTCTCTCTCACTATTTTCCTATTTTTTTCTTTTTCGTTCTTTCATTATTCTCCGTTCGATTCCTTTTCAGGGCATTGCAGCTAAACTTCGCGCCAACGAAGGGCCTCCATTATCATCTCCCGGTACTCTTCGATTACTTTCATCTCGCCGCCGTATCCATCACGATCCACGCTTGCCTCGTGGCGCTTCATCAGCCGTACATCAAGTCGGTATCTCTCTCTCTCTCTCTCTCTCTTTTTCCTTATCTATCCCTTATCACGACTTTTTTAATATTATATTATATTGTATTTTGATTTTTTCTTATTGTCTTATCGCTATTTTGTTTCTTTTTTGTCTCACGCAAACGATCAGGAAGAGTATCCTGCATTACGTTCAAAGTTGGTAAGTTTTGTTTTTTAAATAAATTTGTAATTTTATTTTTTTTTTTTTTTTAATAATTAAGTAATTAATCAACGTGTATTTTTATACAATTTGTAGCGCACCACGTGGTGGAAAACCATGGTTGCAGTTTAAACCAACTACAGGAAACAACGAGAACAACGCAACTTTTGGAAACGTTGTAAGTTAAAATATTGTTAGCTTCATTGATTTTTGTTTTTCATCATGTGATTTATGATGACTTTTCGTATATAAGTTGCACAGGGCATTATACGACACCTACATTATAAAATAACGACAATTTCAAATGACCCGAACGGAAAGTTCAAAGTGGGATGTTTGCGAACCGGTGTGGTGGCATGGAACGTATGTTACATATGAGTGACGTGACCGTATGTTTCGAAAGTCCAACGTCACACATATATGTGTGACATTGTCCAATGGCCGTTTTAATTTAATGCATTACATATATATGTGACGTATATAGTCTATAGAAAACGAGAACACATTTTATCTATAGACTATTGTCACATGTATATGTGACATTTATATACAATGCTTATATATGTGTGCTTTATTTATAGTTGTATACTTTTATACAAGTATAACTAACATAAATATGTGATATGAAATATCGAATAAAACTACGTATATGAACCACATGTTCTTTCATTTTTTTTTTCACAGCATATCATTGAACCGAAACTAAAATTGCATCTATTCAGTTTGTTGATCGTTTGTTTGTTTAGGAAAGTACTACGAGGTGTGTAGGTTCAGCTACAAGGATGCAACATGCCAGATTGATTCAACAAGAAGTTACGAGATTACTTTTAGCCGCTAGGGAATCCCTGATGAATGATCTGGCCGATTTAGCAAGACTTTTACCATCTTGGCAACAAAGGGCACTCGAGCTTGCACAGAAATCGCACAAAGAAATGACCAAGGTTTACTTCTGTTTCATTTGGCTAATTTTGATAAAAGTATTTTTTTTTTAAATTGATAACACGTGTGATCTCACGATTAACAGATGATGGACACGGAAGAGGCAGACATAGCTCAACTCTGTGCACAAAATATCCTCCTTTGGCAAAACTTTTTGGAAGCATTCTCAGGACGCGAAGCTGTTCATCAACATCTCGCTAGAATTCATCATCAATTGCGAGTAAGTTTTTAAGACCTGTTGATTCTGATCTCAATTAATTGGGCTTATGTTTTTTTTTTTGTACAGGTTAAACGTTTCGCGGAAGGTTTCTTCGTGTTGGAAAATCCACGAATGTCAGCGGCAGGTTGTTACGATGCTAATTATCAATCTTATCAGGCAGTTAGTGAAGCAGCACGAAGATCACGTTATCTGGCATCATTACCACCGTTACCGGTTCATTGTCCAGAATTGGATGGGGATCTTCATTCGTTGCCTTTGATCTTTGAAGATCAATATGCCGATATGCAACAGAGACATAGAAACAGTAGTAAGAATAACAGTTGTAGATTGATTGAGAATAATTATATATTATATTTATAATATAATTATATTATCTTTTAGTTCCCAGTATGGACGATTGTAGTTGTGGAATAGCCGCGATTCTGGGATCCAGAACGATGGGAATTTGGTCACCGAGAAGTGAAGGTGCTGCACAGGACATCGGAGCGATGCATGCGAGGTTTGCTACGACCCCTTCGACTTTACCAGCCAGGCATAGCAAATCTCTCGATCAGTTAGGTCCTGAAATGGCGCCATTGCAACCAAGAACTTCGCCTAAAACATTACCCAGGTTTGTTAGATCCTCGTTCCAATCTTAAATGTTTAATTGTTTCCAAAAAAAAATGTTTAATTCATCTCGGCTTTAAAATTCAGATCGGTGTCGACCCAATTGTTTCCTAAACAACGTGGTGGAATGAGAAATGCTACTCCACCAGCGACAGTTCCATCGAGAGGAAGGCCAAGGTCAACGGTACCGTCCAGCAACACCCTCTTCCCACCGTCTGGACAACAACAGGCCTGTTCAGCGCCAAACCCATCATTGAGTTCAACTCCGGTGATACCTTTGCCTCGAGCCAAATCCACACAAATGTTGGTGCAAAATCGACAACAAGTCGATCCACAATCGACATCCATAGGTTCACTACTTGTAGCAATGTTTCCCGAGCTACCATCGGATACTCGGCTGCCTGGTTATCGGCCCAACGCTAAATCCTGCGAACAAAATCTAACAGTACCCTCGTATATCAGAACGTTGGATTTGGCCCAACTGGCTGATTGCTTGAATACCGAGAGCAAGTCTTCTCACACGTCTGAAGGTATTATTTGTTTTCTTTTTTTGGTATTTTCTCTCTGTGATTTATTCACGTCACTTTTTACACATCTGTTGAATATTTAAATACTTTCAAGTATATAAATGATGCCATTTATTGATTTTCAAGCAATCCAATATTATTTACATTATTTCTATGATAGTTTCGTTTTTATATTTTTCTTTAGATTTTCATTCTTTGGATACCAGAAGAATACGATTGGAACCTAGGAGTCATCGATTGTTAACACGACAAGGGCTCTCTAACAACGATCAAAATAATTTTCCTCTCGGTAAACCTGGTGCCAATGTTGCTGATGGTTTCTTGCACGAACAACAACCACAGCAACAACCACAACAACCGCTTCATACAGCTACACTTGATAGGATAACGTATCGTGGAAATGCCAGGAAACAGGCACATCAAACAGGTAGCAAATACAATCAAATTAACGGATTGGATTCACGGCGTTATCATACGATTGGTAAAACGAGTTCCGGTCACGGACAATCCAATCGGGATAACACAATAACGCAGGATTCGATGAATGGTGGGACAACGTTGACGAGCAGTCATTCGTTGTTGATGGAACCGTTGTACAGAGTATCGAATTACTCATCGACAACAACGGATTCTTTCTTTTATCGAACGAACGGTACCAGTGGACGCACACGTGACGAAACTGATCGACCTAAGAGACCAAAAAGTACGGACAGACTCATAGATGAGGTTGATAGAAACGATTGTTGCGAGTTTAGAAGGGACAGAACGAAAAGGAAAGATGACAGAGTGACCAAATCACCTCGTAACGGTGTAACATTGTCGTGTTACGTTGATGATAAACAACAGAAAAGAGTAAGTGGTCAACGTGATAAAAGAACTATGGACACGCCTAATGAGCCCTTATACGAAGTGATCGCGCTCAAGGCCGAACCAAAAAGAGAAACAACCCGTATTGAAAGAAGAAGAGACAAACATGGTAGGAGGCCACATTCAGCACCCGTTTTAGACACCGAACGTCCTACCGAAGAAAGTAGAAAGTGTGGTCATAGGAATAGGAAACCTGCGCCACCACCTGCAGCTTATCAGGATCCAGCTATGGCACCATTGCCTAAATATCGTCATCCACCTCCAGCACCTACGACCAATGTTCTTGAAGTTGAGAATAATAATAAGATTATTCTTAAGGTAATTATCATTTGTATTTTCGTTAAGCGTGTAATGAAAGAAAGAAAAAAGAAATATCTAAAGATTTAATATTAAATTGTAGGTTGAACCGATAAAATCACCTAACGAGATACCGGCTACAAACGGTAGAACACCGTCATCCGAAATATCAAGTACAGGTGAACAACCGCCCAACGTGAAAAGACTGAGATGTGCCAGCGTACCCGTGGCACAGAACAAAATCGTAGTACCACGTAGTGCCGTTTCGCTACCGTGCATGCCGATTCGCGATAGCAAAGATAGCCTTAGCAATAATCTTCCCGTCATTCCAAATCCCCTTAGTCCGCCGTCCACTCGACCGAGTAGTCCTACGACCAGTTCGAGCTCTAGCAATTTGACGTCAGAGTGTTCAGGTTGGGTTAGCAGCGGTGATACTTCTAGTTCCGAACAAAAACGTAATGCAAGATTGTCGAGCGAACAGTTGCGTCAAAAACTTTCGAAAATCGTGCCGAAAAAGACAGGTCCAGTTAAGGAAAGTAGTAGTCCTATTGAACATTCTTACGAAGAAGTTAGATTACCACCACCTAAAATGTTTCAAGACGAGCCACCACCTCCGGAAGAATTTCGCGATCCACCAGCACCCATCGACAATCCTCTTTATCACGTTTACGAAACGGTCAAGAGAACTAGGAGTCCCAAACAAAACAAAACAGCACCCTGTAGTCCTCAACGAAATCGAGAAAACGCTTATGGTGGTGGTACCGTTTGTTTGGATTGTTATCAAGAAGGCAAAGAACTCTTACAGAGTACTCAGGACGATTTGATCAACTTTAAAAAGTGTAAGGAAGAATTCAAACGACAAATGAGCTTCTCCGGTAGAATTTACAGGTGTGTACATTTGAATATTTTAAGGATCGTGCTTTTGGTCCCTCCGATACTCTTCCAACTACAAATTCCTCATTTTTTTTATTGAAACAAATCTTTTATTTGTTTTCGCTAACGCAATAATGTTAGCACTCGTGTGCTGCTTCATCAGCACCAAAGGTAGCAATAATCTGCTGTTTTTTATTTTTGAATTGTTTCACCGCTACCACATTTCTTTTTCATTTTCTTTCTTTCATTCTCTCTCTCTCTTTCTCTCTCATTTCCAAACGTCCACCTTTCCGTTGGTATTTTAAGTTCTACCTTACCCCTTATCTAGAGAACGCAAGGAAGCGCAGTATCGCTTCCATAAGCGTGCCCGTTCCTTCGGATACGGTGAACTTCTGAACCCGTCGTCGATTCAACAACCTTTAAGATCGAATGTGCCTCTTAGCGATTACCCAAGCCTGGCCTCAACCTTGCCGTATTTCCACATCAGCGACGAGTACCGGCTATTCTCACCGGAAGGTGCTCACCTGATCGTTTGCGTACACGGACTCGATGGTAATGCAGCTGATCTACGTCTCGTCAAGACTTATCTCGAATTGGGTTTACCTGGGGCACACTTGGACTTTCTTATGTCCGAAAAAAATCAAGTAAGTTTTTTTGATAACATCCCCTCTCCCCGTTTCTTTAATCTTCAATTAATATTGAACGAATTGTTTTTGAAGGGTGACACCTTTTCGGACTTTGACACTATGACGGATAGATTGGTAGCTGAGATACGTCATCACATTGAAATATCGGGCTTGAATCCAACTAAAGTTAGCTTCATCGGACACTCTTTGGGGACCATCATTATTCGAAGTGCTCTAACACGACCACAACTTCGGCCATTAATTCCACGTTTGCACACCTTCCTTAGTTTAAGCGGACCTCATTTAGGCACTCTTTATAATACCAGTGGATTGGTTAATGCTGGTTAGTACAATTATTATTTTTAAAACAATCTAATATAGTTATATACTTTTTTATTTGATTTCATATTTTACACCCCTAGGTATGTGGTTCATGCAAAAATGGAAAAAGTCCGGATCGTTGCTTCAATTGGCAATGAAGGATTCGCCAGACGTCAGGCGTTCCTTCATGTTTCGTTTAAGCCAAAAAAGCAATTTGCAAAATTTCAAACACGTACTTTTGTGCGGAAGCGCTCAAGATCGTTACGTACCCCTTCATTCAGCGAGAATTGAACTTTGCAAGGCTGCCGTGCGTGATCCGTCCGATCAAGGTATTGCAATATTTTCATATTTCATTTATTAACTAAAAAGTGACATGAAAAATATTAATTTAGATTTTTTAAATACACAAACATTGTAGTAATAATTTGTTGTTTTTAAAAAAACCATCTAATAATTATGAAACAATATTTTAGTTATCTTTGTCAATGCTATTTGGTATTCGTTAAGATTTCATGACAATTAATACAAATTTAGAACTATAGAGATATTAATTAATCAACCCCTCTAGTATACAATTTGTATAATGATTGATATTTTGAATTTGTTATAGGGGCAGCGTATCGCGAGATGGTGCACAATATACTTTATCCCGTGATGTCGGCATCAGGTGTGAGTTTGGTCAGATACGATGTCCATCATGCACTACCACCGACAGCAAATGCACTTATCGGCCGAGCAGCTCACATCGCCGTCCTTGACTCTGAGCTTTTCATTGAGAAATTTCTCTTAGTTGCTGGTCTTAAATATTTCAGATAAGGGAACACATGCAACATGGGTGGGAGGGAGAGGGTTGGATCGATCACACATTAAATAAATTCATCATTCACACGGGATTTTTGTGTACTATTCCAATTAAATAATAAGTTAGAAGAAGAAAACGGCAAGAGAAGAACAAAAAATGGAGGATGATGAAATGATTAATGAGAGAGAAATAAAAAAAAAAAAATAAGTATATTAAAGAAACGAAAAATTCTATGTTTAGAAATGAAACGATATTGAAATGAATTGAAATATAATAATCTTCGTTTCTGATCGTAAAAGGTATGCGAGATGATATGTCGTACGATAAATAAGGTAGTTCGATTTAAACGACGAAGAAGAATAAGAAGAAGATAAAACAAACGATTACATTTTAATTAATAAAAAAAAAAAAAAACTAAAAATAAAAAAATTAAAATAAGTAAACGATTTTTTCCCTCGCGATTCGAATCGATTCGAGAAAATCTTTTTTTCGGCCTAGCTTATTCCCGTCGAGTTTACGATTACGAATAACAATTTTTAGGAAAGTTTGCAAACGATTTAAAAAAAAAAAAAAAAAAAAAAAAAAAAAAAAAAAAAAAAAAAATACAAAAGAAAAAAAGAAATTCTCGAGTATTTCATCGCGACGAATCATCCCTCGTAAATTGAACAATGCCAATAATTTTCATCGATAATTATCACGAAAGATAAATAATCATACGTAAATCTTAATAAATAGGTTAGTTTAAGAGACCCATCGATCGAACGTAATTGGTTACACACGTTGACCAATCTCTGCGTCGCAATGTATAATATATATAAACGTTCGTGTGTATAGTTTCGTATTTTCTTTTCTTTTCGTTTGATTTTTCCTATTTTTTTTTTCTTCGTTTCTTTTTGAAAAATTTCGTAATAAAAAAAAAAAAAGAAAGAAAGAAAATAAAAATCGCGTAATCGATTCGTAATTTCAAATATTTAAATACAAACATACTTATCGCGTATTTCAAAAGTATGTTGAAAGTGTTTCGCTGACTCCTATCGTATTAATAATTTATTAAAATAAAAAATGTATTTATTAATAATAACTGCATTTTATTCATTCACTTGATATAAAAATAAAACAACGTTAATTAAATTTTCTAATCTAATTAGATTAAATGTTTTTCATCGAAATGTCTCGTGTATCTATCGAATTTATAAATAATTTTTATTAAATATAATTCAAATTATATACTTAAACCTTCCGTTAAGTCCCATATGACTTGAAAATTACATATCGAAATTTTGATCCGCGTTTAAAATAAATATTTTCTTAACTAACAACCCCCATGCCCAAATATAATTACGTTCGCGTATTTTTAACTATAGCTTAAAATTATTATAAATAAATTTATTATTCTGTGTTTCAAATTCAAATTCATACGAAATTAATTTGGCCTACGGAGAAGGGGAGTGTTAATTAAAATCTTTAAAATTAATTCTAATTGTAATTTTTTATTTTTTTTTATTTTTTTTTTTTCACAAACATATTCATAAACAATAAATTTTTATACGTATAAGAGTCAGCGATTCGCAGAAATATTTGAAAGAAAAGAAAAGATAAGAAAACAAAAAAGGAATTAAATAAAAAATTTAAAATAAGTACGAAAGAGAGAGAGAGAGAGAGAGAGAGAAAAGAAGAAGTCAGTTTGATAGACAGAGAGAAATAGAAAGAAAGAAAGAAAGAATAAAAGAAAGAGACAATGCTAGAAAAAAACAAATACATTTGTCTAGCAATTAGGAAAGTTTACGAAACGCATGTCAATTGTTAACCTCAGATAAGTGTGTGTGCGTCCCGTGCGCGTGTTTAAAAAAAAAAAAAAAAAAAAAA